ATCTGTGTCTATATATTTCGAGAAGTCTATTTCCTTCAGGTTTACTGACCAAAATTTTCTAAAAATTCTCATAAAAACTGCTTCATTTTAACATTTCGCTATAGCGACGTGGTTAGTACACTTTTTTTCAATGGCTCTTCCAGCCCATTCAGGGCCCAGGCCTCTTTATAAGATCCGTAATCATTTTTCACAGACGGTAGGACTCCTTGGACGAGCGATCATCCCGTCATAAGGCCTCTACCTAAACACAGAACGACACAAACAGAATAAACGCATACACACACACCAGACATCCATGCCTTTTTTGGGATTCGATCCCACGATCTCGGCTTCCGAGCAAGCGAAGAGAGTGCTGTTACTGTGACCGGCCAAAGTAGCTCCTGTGATGCAAGAAATATTATCGATATGCGCAGTACAGAATACGTATTTCATACTTTCACAACCTTGATGAATGAAATAAAAATCAAATGTCCATCACAGTTAAGTTGCAGTTCATGAAACTGGCAGCGTCTGCAGCATTTCCTGTCCTAGAACGTTCGTGCTGATCCAAGACCCTGCTGCTACTTTTTTCTCGCCCACACGAAGCGCTGGCGAATGTAAGATCACGTGTCAGTTCCGCAATGCCTTGCTTATGTTGCCCTGGTTCAACGACACACTGACTTTCTAGAGCCCGGCTGAAGGTCAACAAGGAATTGGCCAACCTCCCCCCCTCCGCGTTCCTGCGCATCACGACAGAGCTCACTAGTGCTCCCTGCACGCCGACAACATAACTCGCAGTAAGCCTTCCCCGGCTGTCCTCTTATCCGCTCTTATCAATGCATAGGAAGGGAGAAAGTTACGTAAAAACAGCATGACCTGTGACTACCGCTCATTTTTCAGTGTGTCTGGAACATGCACTTAATAGATGCCTCAGTTGCTAAGATGTGCTGCAAATAAATTTTACGTGAAGAAAAACAGAACGAAAAATAGTCTGTCTTGGATATCTTTTGAATTTAACTGCTGGAAAGTTAACAATTTCGACCTTATTCATACACGGAGAAGAGTCAATTTTGAACAAACAGTGTAATGTTACCATAAAACATAATAACATGCCATAAAATCCCCTGACAATATTCTATCATTAATACTTTAACCTCGCCTGTTCGCCAAAAGATACCGGATTGCTATTTTGAAATTTTAACCAGCTTCTTAATGACTCCTGTCCATTATTAGCAACTGCAGCCAATGATTTCGAAGTACAGTATGCTCGAGGAAATTGGAGTATCCAAAACCTCACCGCCAACTGTGAACCGTTTGTCTAGAAAGTGTGAGAGCCTCGACGTCTCACAATTGTAAAAAAGCACGTGAAATAAGAGACCTGCGTTATTTTGTCTTGAGATCTAACACATTATTTATGACACTCAGAGATTTCTTTTCAATGGCTCTTCCAGCCCAGTCAGGGCCCAGGCCTCTTATTCAGTTGCGTAATCATTTTTCACAGACGGTAAGACTCACTAGAAGAGTGATGAGCTCGTCGTAAGGCCTCTACCTAAACACACGACAACATAAAGAATAAAACGCATACAAACACCAAGCATCCACGCCTTAAGTGGGATTCGAACCCACGATCCCAGCGTCCGAGCGAGCGCAGACAGTTCATGCCTTAGACCGCGCAGCTACTGATGACAGAGATAACTACGTACTATTACAGGTAAAAGGTAAAAAAAAAGGGTTATGTTGTCCCTGTGCTTAACTAATTAAGCACTACGCCATGAAGGCGTATGGGGGAGAGCATGTATAGACCCATATTTTCTTGATCTCGGCACTAGTTGGAGGTGAGGGTCAGCCTCAAGCCCCGGACACTTTACCGCCGGGAAAAGAGCCCCCGGTGCCCACTGGATAGGAGGTTCGGTGGACCCCAGAGTCAATCTGGACGACGTGGAGAAGAGCATATTCATGACCCTAACGGAGCTCTAACTCCGACCCCTCCGTCGTCCAGCCCGTAGCCAGTCGCTATAATATTATTACAATCTCCGTGGTAACATACCTCTAGTTCAGATTAGTATTAAAAGTCAAATATCAGATTTTTTTTGGCAGTACGCAGTATTATACATATAACTTCACTTCTAACCCATGCTCCTAAATTTGCGAATACTTGCTTTTGTGAACATGCATCAGCAGCAGACCTCGGATACGGATTAAACGCTTCTGCATTTAGACATGTCCTAAGCCTATCATTCTAAGTTTTGTCATGTATGTAAGAAACGTACACAAAATTGCACAGCTCGAGGCTCATCACCAGTTTTAGGACTGTGGGATTCAAGGTCCCCACGGCGGTGACTACGAGACCACTTTCTTCTCGGACGTTCAATTTTAAGAATTACCTCGTGAGGTAGTAGTCCCAGCGGTCCCTGACAGGTATTTTCCTATTCGAAATCCCAAACCCACTCACGAAATGTTGTAAGAGTTGGGGCATCTTTACAAATGTGCGAGGGGAGGCGATTCTGGAAACACGACTGGCATTTCCCCATCAGCGGTGCTCGTCCACGTTGTTCCATAATAACTGCCCCTTTCCTGCCCAACATGCCACACTATTTCCTCCAGGAAGGCCTTGAGTCGGTACTTCGCCCCGCCAACCGCTGATACATCCAGCAGGACGCCTCCCCAGGTAGTGCGTCAGCAGACGGCTGTTACCAACACCGGAGTCCCTCCCATTTCCTTCTGTCGCGTTTTCCTCATGTCATATAATTTCGCTATCAGTAATCAGGCTTGAGGCGGAATGCTTTGGGAAAGAAAGTTTATACATATATTCTGGAAACAACTATTGAGCCACTGTTCGAAAATATGGGAGAAAGAACACACGCGGTAGTATAAAAGAAGAAAAAAGGAAATATCTGAACAAGATTAGCACAGCACGAGCGGTTCATCGCCCCACTGCACTCCCAGTGTTAATACATTATCACGACTTAAGGTCACTTCAAATGCACTCTCAATTTGGACACGTGCCTCTCGGGGAGGTCTACATAATGGCGCACACAGACACTATGGGACACAATATGGATTTAACATATATGTTAGAAAAGTATTCTGGTTGTATAAGGAAAGGTGGGTATGTCCCCTCCTAACAACTTCTGAACCAAATGGCGAATTTTTGGCGAAAGTACGCATGGACGTCGTGTCGCTAGTGGCCACCACCCAACATGCAACTACCACAGACTACATACATACCAACGCTTGGGACCATGCATAGGCATGCTATATCATGCATTTCTTTTCTTTCGGTCACAAAACAACTGATAAAGAGTACTGCAGTGTACTTGTACGTTAATTAACAGGTAAGATGTTCGACCAATTAAATGGTCATCTTCAGGGCCTATACTATGTTTCATATCAATCATTATACCTCCATAAACATTATTTTTGTTAATTATTAAATACTGAAATATGTCAAGTAACTTGTTTCATCGCATTTCGACTAGTAATAAGCATACTTAAATATAGACATATCTGAATGTTTAATAAGGTGATTACATTAAGGAGTTTTGAGTTCCTAAAAGTTGGAAATAATCTGTTGACTGAACGGCTATGAGCTTTTAAAAAATGGTGTTGCACCGTGAATTCAATTTTTATAAAATCATTAATAAAAGAGCAGAGTAAGTCGATGCTGCAGCTCATGCGCAGAACATGGACAGCCGGGATAGCTCAGTCCCCATCTACCGTTTCTTCTATTTACGCAATGTGGCAAGACAGAGGGACAGGGGGGAGGGGTGGACGGCAGGACTCCGTGTCTATAGCCCGCCTGGCTTCTATGACAACATCACTGCAAATGTAATTGAGATAATGCAGACAAGCGCGGTACAATAGAGGCTACAGGTTAAGCACAAGGCAAGTACATAAGCACGTTTCCTGTCAGGCGTCACTATCTCTTCATTAACCTGCGGAGGTAGGCTTTCTCGTACGTAAAGAAACGGGCCTACACAAGTTATGCACACAGCCAATTGCAGACATTATCGCTCGTACGGAAAGCGAAGCTCCTGAGATACGTGCCTCTAGCTTCAGTACTACTCGTATTGCCAATAATCAAACTTACACTTTTCTTATAACTTTACTTTTACTACAGTTAAACTTATTTCAAAACAATACATTGCCTGAAAATGGAGGCAGTATGTCCCTGCGTAACGTTGGTAGCAGACCACGGTGAGGTTTAATTGCCATGAAAATATCATACAATTTGGCGTTCGTTGTTTCTGAGACTGTCCATTTGTATGCTTTCTACCAGTACATGCCCTGCATTACCCTGACTGTGTGAGAAGCTATTGCAACATGGAGATACAGCGCATTTACATGTATTATTTAACTTTTTATCCTAATGAGTATACTATGACTAGTTTCACGGCCAATTTATTACTTTTCATGAATGTAACTACATTATGGCCCCCTGTGTGAGAACAAGAGTGAAGTGCCTTTCGTGAAGGCCCCTAAGACGTACAGTCCAGGCCACAGAAAAAACTTCAACCCTCTGGAGCAGAATTTCTTCTGAATAATACTCCATTGCCATTTGACATGAAACACAATGTACTTTGTAAAGACCAACCACTAATGTTGTGTAGGGAAATGGTTATGTATATGGAGCACTTACATACGCTGTGTGGACAAAACGCAGAGTTTCTCAATGTTAAAGAAAGTGGTACATATAGTAACCACGAATGGCCACGTCATAGCACAAGCAGACAATCGCTGGCTTCCCACCGCAGCGGCCCGGGTTCGAATTCGAGTCTGGTCAAGTGGGATTTGTGGTGGACAAAGTGGCGCTGGGGCGGGTATTCTCCGAGTACTTCGATTTCCCCTGCCAATCTTCATTCCACTAAATTCTCCATCATCATAATCACCCAGGGCTGGCTACAATAGGCCAATCAGTGGGCGCCGTGCCGAGGGGACTCAGTAGGCCCCCCCCCCCCCAATAGCGAATTAAAAAATACCACGATGAGTTAAAGGACTAGGGTCCTTCTGTATAGACTCACCGGGGTGTCTGCCAGTATAGTGCTGCTGCTGCTGCTGCTGCTGGTGGTGACTACTCCTAGAATGGTGCAGAGTGGACTGTGACTGCTGCTGATGGTGATGGTGGTGGTAGTATGGGGCTAGGAACCCATGGTGCCCTGGCCCAGGACTCTCTGGGGTTCTCGCCGCGGGTCCTGTGGGCAATTTGTCCCGTCATCAGCCATATTGTGAAGGCGACGTGCGAGGTACTGCAGTTCATAAATGTAAGGCACCATCGCAGTGGCTTCCCTCAGAATTCCGGGTAACTACAAGTTCACGGACATATTTTCAGCCAAAGATTCGTAACTGCGGCCACAAGCTATCTTCATGACCGATAAATACGTCCTTTAGCCTATTTTCCATATTTTGATAAATAAAACTAGGCTACTGAGACTACCTTGCCGTCTGCGTGTATGTGAATCCCCTCCAACATTGAATTTCCGAACCAATCTTTATGAAATATGGTACGCATATCATGATATCTGAGCTACAGCATAAATACCTCCTACGAGTCTGTGCCTGTATGTGTATACCCACATCGTTGCCAGGCAACGGCTCGGTACAAACACACACGAAACAAGAGATGGATTATGAGATCATCTCGCTCCGTGTCTGTTTATTCCCCTTATTGTTGCTAGGCAACGGCTCGGTAAGAACTTCCCGCTGTAATAAATAAAACAGAATGACTGCTGGACGCGTCGTTTTCTGTGCGGTCCGTGTCGTATCAAGGAAAGTGACTAGTTTTTCTCAGAATTTATTTTATATTTTTCTCCTCTTCAACCAAATGTAATACAGTGACGCAATAAATATGGTAGTTAACTGAAATTAAACATAATAAAAAGCTCCAGAGGTTAGTCGTTGGCTTCCCACCGCGGCGGCCCGGGTTCAATCCTAGGTCTAGTCAAGTGGAATTTGTGGTGGACAAAGTGGCGCTGGGGCAGGTTTCCTCCGAGTACTTCGGTTTCCCCTACCAATCTTCATTCCATCAAATTCTCCACCATAATCAACCGGGGCAGGGTACAACAGGCCAAGCAGTGGCTGACGTGCCGAGTGGACCCAGCTGGACTCCACCCCCCACTTAGCGAATTAAAAAAATAATAAAACATCAGATTCAATTCCTGTTCGTTTCCATTTAACTGTCCGCTGCTTTCTGTGGCACTCGGTCTGAACTGCGTAGCCTTGCAAGCTGCGCAGAGAAGGGCATCCATGCGCCCATGACACGACCCATTCCCATTTCACAGTGCTCTTCAAGTTTAATTACTTTAACATGTCGAGGGTCAGCCTACTACATCTTAATCGTTTGGCACGGGATTCGTTGCGCTGACCACGCGGTACACTCTATCCGCTAAAGTTGGCACGAACTTCGCCGACAAGGGGCGGTAGCTCGGTCGCTATAGTTCGCTTGCGGACTGAAACCACGGAGTTTGTTTGTTTTTGTTATAAATTTGGATGAACGGAACATTTACCTGGTGTGAGCTGCAGGCGCGCCTTGAGCTCATCGTTGGACGTGTGTCCACTGCTGCTGCTGTCCACATCAGAGACCCCGGAATCAGCAGGGCTGGGCGGTAGAGAGCCTGCAACAAGGGAACATCACACGTCAGATTGCACTTGTACATTGTACGGAGGAAGAGACACAAAGAAGAGGCCGGAAATATAGAAATGAAGGAACGAAAGACGGGAAAGAATGGAATGAAAGTAATGAGGTACGAGGCTGAATTAACGGAATGAAACGAGAAATACAGAAAGTAAAAAGCAAAGAAACAAACAGAGAAAACGCAGAGCTACAAGAGTGTAGTGTACATAATGCGGCATACATTTCTGGCTTGTGATCTAGATTCTAAATTCAAAGCAGACGTAGGCCTTAGCACGCGTGTTGAAATGAAACCAATCTGAAACGGAAAACCGTTGTCAATGTTCGGATTCCGTCATGAACGGGTTTTACTGTATTTATGAGATCAAATGGAAAATACAAGACAGTTCGCAGTGTAGTGAAATACAGTGTTCAGAAATGAAATATAATGTTGAACACAAATTATTCATACTGTCACGTGACAGGGTGACAACAGACGAATTTTCGATTGACGACTCAACTTACTGCACACTTTGATACAGCGCGTGACTTCACTTTACAGTTCACTGTTACGCACATACTAGTGTCCAATCACGTCTTCACTAACCGTTGCTTAGTAGCGGCTGCTAACGGAGGGTGTTCCCCTTCCTCTGGGTTCCCGAACTGTCGCCGACTCACCGTCCACGACTTTCTTTCAGTGGCTTCACTGTATTCAGTGTCCACAGTGACTCTTAAACATTATTAACTAAATGTTACAAAATTAATTTTGCATATATTAATGTTATTTTACATTTTTTTTTGTTAGTTTTCACGGTGGTGTTTCCAATTTAGAGGTTATGAATCTTCGAATTCAAGGTGAGGACGATGATACACCGGCAGACGAGGAAGGCTGACCTTACTTATTCCAATTACTGTCCGGCAAGTCTGTGAGCAAAACCAAGAGACGTTCAGTACAACTTCAGCTGTCAGAATCTCTTGATCACAGAAAGCTCTACGCGTATTTCTAGCGCGCATTTGCTCCAGATATTTTGAAGAGAAAACTAGGATGAAAGTGGCATCACTTGAAGATAATTTAGTGATTCGCATCTGTAACAAAATGCCACTGTGTTGGAACCACCACGGTTTGCAGCTGCATGTTTAAATAAAGGCCCACCTGTTGTTTTATATGGGTGAGAGATCACGCGTGTAAGGGAATAAAATGCTGAGAATATTTGGAGCTATGTGGAGAGGAAGTAACGTGAAGCCGGAGAGTACTGGATAATGAGGAGCTTCATGCTCATAATTTGTATGCCTAATTAAACTTTATTGCCGTGATCAAATTAATAAGGATGCCATGGTCGGGGCATACAAAATATTATGCCATACGCGTGAAGGGGAGTATGAGGGCGTGGGGCTGAACCATATTGCTCTAAGGGTTCAGTGGCGGATTCTTGTGAACAACGCAATCAACTTTCGGATTCCATAGAAGAGAGGCATTTTTTTAACTTGCTGAGCAACTATTAACTTCCCAAGATTTAATCTGCTAAACTGACCCAGTTACTCTACATCTTATCATGCGAGTCGCCTGAGGCAGTTAAAATAAAAACAACTGGCCGTAAGTACCACTTTCAATTACATCATTTTTCTTCGGGTTCTGGCGTTGGCTCTTAATTTCGGGGCCTAGAAGCCAATCCTACCTCAGTCCATGAGGGATCTGTGGAGTCACGGTGGAAATGAGGAAGTCTCTCTTCAGTTCACCCTTGTCGATCGTCATTCCAGTGACCAGATGGCACGGCCGCCGGTTCAGGCTTCAATTCTGGCCTGGCACTAGACCTGTCTGAGAGTAACGGACATCTAATCCCATCCATGTTCTCTGTTCCTTGTCTCACACTACAGATCAAACGCTATTAAAATATTTGCTACTAATATGGTTTATATGTTTTTAGCATTTTTCGTCGAAAGCTGAAACGATGCTAATCCAAGACTTAAGAAAGTTGATCAACGCCAAGTAAAGCTCATTATCAGGTTTGCAGGTGAAATGATCAGCTATTTATGTTGACCGTCTGCTGTTTGTGCCAAGCAATCCAACGGCGCCCGTCTCAACACGACCTTGTGCTTCTCCTGTACTATCACGTGACACTGTGACCCCGACCTTGTTTTTAATAGCAGCAGCTGCGAAATGTTCGATAAACAGTGCGGGTTAATGGCCTTTACAAAATAAGGCAATCGTGTTTGCGAAAATATGAATGAAAAGGTGCTTCCATCTGTCAGGTGTCGCTGACACAATAGGGAAGATGTTTGTAATGTTACGAGGCCAGGCAGATGGTTGCGTGCATCTTGTGGTAGAAATATGCGGGGTTGTGACAGATGTATCCACCCTCCGTTGCAAAACATTACAACCCTTTCTTTACAACCACTGAGGGCAACATGACGCGACCAGCAAACAAAGCACAATGGTCCTTGTTTTCTTGCAAACTGTTTTGTAACTGGATTAGTCCTGCGGCTCTTTGAAAATTGATTATGTCTCTCTTGAATTTTGAAAATTTTCCTGCAAATAAATGCCTGTGCCTATGTTATAACTAAATAATTCCATATAAAGACCGCGCCTTCATTATAACTAATGCCACACAGCAGAATCACTAAGAAGCTGACAGTTGCTGTTTGTCAAAAAAATCCAGCCCCACTCATTTTCTTAAAAATCCACTTCAACCCCAGTTTCACTCTCTAGCGTAGGCTTCATGCCCAGTCCCGTTAAGCCTCAAAAATATAAAACGAAAATAAAGAATTTTAGTTAAATATTTTTTATGAAGAAAAACATGAGAACGAATCTAGCAAAGAACTCTATTCACGGGGTATGGAGAGCGCGCTCCTGTTTATGTGGGAACAACCTACTTTGCACCCAGTGTACTGTCTGACCCGTCACAGCTCTTCCAGCATCACAGTTCTCGAAAAACAGGACCTATGTCATAATCTTTTAAGAGTTACAACACACTTTTGGAGGAAGTCTTTCCAGTGACACTGTCTGCAGAAATAAATTGCACAACAATTTGACAGATCTGCTCCTGGCGACCAATGCCTGACGCGCAATTCAATACAACGCGAAATATACTGAACTTGCAAGTACAAGGCCACTGCTGAATGAAATCCTTCTGCTCTCGGGGGGTTTAAATAATGGCGACTGTTTTCGTTATTAATAATACATATCGCATATCTATTCATTTGTCTATAAAACTTTGTCATTAACTCGATTCATCCTGGAAGTTTGCCAATGATATCAAGGCACAACATCCAACGTTACGGCAGATGAAGTACTGTAGTTAGTCTTCCGAAAACATTTGTCATTTCACGTACTGTCAGTATAACTGCTTACTGCAGATTTGGCGTCTGGATGAATTTCTGGCTTCCTCCACTTCGACACGAAATTCATGTGGTCGGAGTTACCCTGGTCAGATTTCAACATTTTGCGAAAATTTAGTGCTACGAACGAATTCTATTCTTGGACACCTAATTTCGAGACGGATCGAGAAGCATACAGCACTAACAAGAACAATGTGTCTGATTCCAAGAAGTAAACAAACCAGCAACGTTCTACTTTTCGACATATTTCAAGTTTTATTAAGTAATTCGTCTTGTGCGAAACGTCATATCGTAAAGTTTTCGTTGGCTATCAGACCTGGTTCCAATCGCTCCGTTGCTCGCTGAGGCAAGTCTAGTAGCACAGATAGGATCATACCTCGTGGTAGGGTCAAATGTGCATATTAAACGGTTTATCAGCTTCAGGTAGGCCATATAACTCAGCTTCGGCCGTCTGAAAGTTTAACGCCTGTTTCACTAACGTCAGGATCATTACCTGTATCACGTCATACTGACGCACGCGCTTCTTTCAGCAGTCAGACCTTTGTCTCAACCGTCTCTCTCTGCTTCTTCGGTTTCTCGTGTTTTAACTACTTACATCTGTTGCCCCTAGCTGCTGTAAGTAAACACTACTGAGCAACCACAGGCTTATCAAATCACATATTTTACTGTACAGTGGAAATTACAACATAACTCTCATGTTAGCGGAAAACCTGATGTGATGCTCTGTAGTCTGGCAGATGCGTACCAGAGTTTCGGAGGAACCAGTTGCCTCTATCTTCAATCCTGAAGATGGGTCGTAATTTTAAACCTCTAACGCCATATATGAACGATGAGCAGGGAACTCCATATCTGTACAGTTGGTGAGAACTGGACAGACACTTTCCGTCCTCTCTGTGGATATCAAAGACCCGCTGTTATTTTGTATATTGCCATCCGTGACACGTGTTTACGTACCTATTAACAGCGTTTACTTGCGAAATATCACACTATACCGAGCTTTGGATCGTGAAGCAAATCAAATGGTACAATACACATAATTTTTGGGAGACGTGATAGCGTAGTCCGAATAGCGACTAGCTACAAGTTAGACGACCAAGGGGTTGGAGTTCGAGTCCCGGTAGGGGCAACATTTTTCTCCTCTCGCTTCTGGGGTCCATCCAGCCTCCAATCCCGGGAGTACCGAGGGCTCTTTCCCAAGAGTAAAGCGGCCGGAGCGTGAAGATGACTACTCACATCCAACTAGTGTCAAGGTCAAGAATGCTTGGATCCGCTCACCCATACGACTTCATGACGTAGTGCTGAAGTAGTTAAGCACGAGGACAACTTTACATTTTACACGTAATTTTTAGTGTTCGAAACTGCTTGGCCCCACGGACTCCAATGTAGCTCGGGAAGGCCCTACAGCGGAGGGAGGGAGGGAGGGAGAGTCCAGCACGTCTAGACGCTAAGAGATACGTTTCTTCCTCTCTAAATTAAATCGCGTGATAATTACTTGCAAGCAATAGCATTCAAGGCCTTACAGGACAAAGTGCTGAGGAACGTGACCCTGGTCAGGCATGCGCAGGTCTGATAACAGCTATGTGACGTAGTACTTCAGGCTTCGTACGGGCTAAATGCAACTCGAGTCAAGCTCTTTATTTCGCATGTTTAACTGCATACCGATCCCCT